TATATATTATTTATTTGTTTTTCAAATTTATTATTTATTATGGGGATGGGGGGCTGTCAGTTGTCTTTATGTTTTGTTGGGGGTTTTTTTGGAGGGGGGGTTGAAGAGGGCGGGTTGCACTATTATTTTTGTTAGTTTCTTGCTAGACTACGAAGAAATGACTGGAGAACCATTTATTGTCGATGTCTATATCATATCTGGCACTTTATGATAACAATCATAATATTTATTTTCTTCAGATCCTGAACAGCTCGAGCACATTTATGTATATGTCCACCATTGTTGAAGACTTTCAGACGGACATGAAGTACCTGGGGCAGCTGTACACTCTACACTGCTGTAAGGGTCTAGCCATCGAGCTGCTGGATGCTCTCTCTCGAGATCTTAACTTCAGGTGAGTCGTCTTATCCCAAGGTGAGGTGAGATGAGAAGAGAGGAGAAAGGGTAAGATGAGGGGAGAACGTGAGATGAGAAGACAGGAGAAAAGGGAAGGTGAGAGGAGAACGTGAGATGAGAAGAGAGGAGAAAGGGGGAAGATGAGGGGAGAAAGGGGAAGATGAGAAGAGAGGAGAAAGGGGAAGATGAGGGGAGAACGTGAGATGAGAAGAGAGGAAAAAGGGGGAAGATGAGGGGAGAAAGGGGAAGATGAGAAGAGAGGAGAAAGGGGAAGATGAGGGGAGAACAGGGGGGGGGGAGGAGTGGAGATAAGTAGTAGTAATGTTGAACAATCGATTATTACGCTGCTGTTGCTGTAGCTGCTGCTTCTGCTGATGATGATGGTGATAAGAAAGCAAGAGAAGCAACACGTAGAAAAGGAAGAGCTAGTGTAGGAGGAGAAGGATGTGAGGAGGACGATGGGGATGACAGGAGGAGCATAAGGAAAAGGATGAGAGGAGGAGGAGGATGAGATGTGGTGGATGGGACAAGAATTAGCATTTTGAGGAGGAGAAGGATGCTATAAGGACGAAGAGGAGGAGGACGAGGAGGAGGAGGAGGAGCGAGGTGAAGGAGGAGAATGAGGATAAGGAGAAAGAAGAGGAGAAGGAGCACGAGGAAGAGGAAAGGGAGTATAAGGAGAAGAATGGAAGGAAGAGGAGAAAGAGGAAGAAGAACAAAATGTGAAAGAGAGTGGTGGAAGGAGGAGGATGTGAGGATGAGGAGAAGAATGAGAGGAGGAGAAGGAGGAACATGAGAGAACAATGGAAAGAGGAAGAGAAGCTAGGGGAGAACGATGGAAGGAGGAAGAGGAGGAGCATATGGAGGAGAAAGAGGATGGTAGAGGCAGGAGAAGGAGGAAGGGGATGGTAGGGGCAGGAGGAGGAGGAAGAGGAGAAGGACAGAAAGAGGAGAAGGACAGAAAAAGGAGAAGGATGGAAGAAGCGGAGAAAGTTGGAAGAGGATGATAAGAGGAGAAAAAGTACCAGGAATGGGTCCCTGGGTGGGGTACGGTGATAGACATGATGATGTTTCTGAAGACACAGATGTTGACGATGTACATAGTAACATAAATAAAATAACCTGGTAGAAGGTACAACAGCCAGGCTCACCTCTAATCACGATGTCCTCCATAGGTATGTCGTCTACTTCCAAAACGAGACAGACTTTGGAACTCCCGAGGACGGCATCTGGACCGGAATGGTCGGGGACATCATCAGCGGGACTGCTGACATCGTTGCCGGAGCCTTCAGTATGACGTCAGAACGAATGAACGTCATCGACTTCACAGAGCCGTTTTACCAGAACGAGTTTGCTGTTGTCACAGGCCAGGATGGGAACTATGTGTCTATGTGGGCCTTCAGCAGTCCCTTTTCAGGGCAGGTGGGTAACGAATAGGCCTTTTTTATCTTAATTTATTCTTGGGAAATATGGTTGTTGTTGTTCCTGTTGTTGTTGTTGCTGCTACTGTTGTTGTTGTTGTTGCTGTTTTGGTTGTTGTTATTGATGTTGATAAGGAGGAGGAGGAAAGGGAGGAGGAGGAGGAGGAGGAGGAG